GATAGATTAACAAGCTTACGAACTATATCTAACAAACACGGAAAACTGGGAAAAACTTGCGTTGAGAAAAACGACACATTGAATGTATGCAAACCACTCATATTATATTTATATACAATTAAAATATACTCTTGCTTCACGTGGCAGTTGTTTCATTGGCATCGCGGGGGTGACGGGATGACGTGCGTGTGCGTCGTTCGCCATGTTAGGAACTGTCTTGAGAATTATAACCGTCTGATATTTACATAGTTTCTAGCAACTGTCTTGAGGGTTATAACCGTCTGATAATTACACAGTTTCTATCAACTGTCTTGAGGGTTATAACCGTCTGATAATTACGCAGTCTCTAGCAACTGTATTGGGAGGCTATAGCTGTCTGATAATTACGCAGTTTCTATCAACTGTCTTGAAAGTTATAACCGTCTGCTGGTTATACAGTTTCTATCAACTGTCTTGAGGGTTATAACCGTCTGATAATTACAGAGTTTCTAGCAATTGTCTTAAGGGTTATAACCGTCTGATAATTACACAGTTTCTAGCAACTGTTTGATAGTTACAAAGTTTCTGGCTACTGTATTGGGAGGTTATAATTGTCTGATAATTACAAAGTTTCTGGCAACTGTATTGGGAGATTATAATTGTCTAATAATTACAAAGTTTCTGGCAGCTGTATTGGGAGGTTATAACTGTCTGATAATTACAAAGTTTCTGGCATCTGTATTGGGAGGTTATAACTGTCTGATAGTTACAAAGTTTCTATCAACTGTCTTGGGGCAATAACTGTTTGATAATTACAAAGTTTCTGACAACTTTATTGGGGTTATAACTGTCTGATAGTTACAAAGTTTCTATCAACTGTCTTGAGGGCAATAACTGTCTGATAATTACAAAGTTTCTGACAATTTTATTGAGGGTTATAACTGTCTGATAGTTACAAAGTTTCTGACAACTTTATTGGGGTTATAACTGTCTGATAGTTACAAAGTTTCTGACAACTTTATTGGGGTTATAGCTGTCTGATAGTTACAAAGTTTCTGACAACTTTATCGGGGGTTATAACTGTCTGATAGTTACAAAGTTTCTGACAACTTTATTGGGGGTTATAACTGCTGATAATTACAAAGTTTCTGACAACTGTATTGGGAGGTTATAACTGTCTGATAATTACAAAGTTTCTGACAACTTTATTGGGGGTTATAACTGTCTGATAGTTACAAAGTTTCTATCAAATGTCTTGGAATCCCCACCTCACTTCTAGAATGTGTCTTTGGTGTATAATTATATCTAAATCACCAATTTTTATAGCTTTGTTAGGGTTATAACAAGGAATTATTTAATTTCTAGAAGAATCTGAACATTATGTGTGTTTGGTTATTATTCAACCTCTGGATAAGTTATGTATCTTCCTGTGTTCGATTTTTAAAATTATAACTTTTGTATTAATTTGAAAATTAAAAGCATTTTTAAACGTAAAAAAAATGATTGAAATATCCTTGAGTTATAGCTATGTTGATGAATTTTTCGTCTTAGAATTATAATGTTACCACTTGGGCCTGGCGTGGCAGGTGGCTAGGACGCTCGCCTCTTTTGCCGTGGGGGCGTTATAATGTGACGATCAATCCTACTAGCTATATCGCTGCTAAATTAGGGACGGTTATCGCAGATAGCCCTCGTGTAGCTTTGCACGAAATTCAAAACAAACCAAACTGAAGGACATATCCGAAAATTGTACCTAGCTTGATGACTTTTGTGTATAAAGCTACCACTCTTACTGATGGAAATATCCGAGAGTTGGAGCTACGTTGGTGACTTTTCTATTTATTAAGCCTTCCACCACTCAGACGATAAAATAAGGAAATAAAACTGGCTTGTTTAACCAAAAATTAAAATAAATTATGAGCTCAAATAACCTGAAATCCATTTGAAATTTTATTAAAAAAGATGCAGCTTTGAAACTTCATGAAAGTCCATATTATCAACTGCAATTAACAGCTATCGTCTGTATACGTAATAAGCAGCTTTTCAACAGGATATCAGTTACAAAATAAACGTAGGAAGACTTGGTGACTCTTGTATCATCACTAATGATTTTATCATCATTTAATCATATCTTAATAACTGTTTATTGTCTTGATACGTGAATGCATATATATATATATATATGTGTGTGTACATAACACCTTTGAAAAATTACATTTTAAAAGCCAAAAAAGTTAATAAAGTTATCCACATATTTATATCACTCCAAACACCATTTCTATAGTTCTAGATAAGTTCTTTTAAGCGCAGTAAATATTAGCAAGCAATTACCATTCGAAATGTTCTAATCTCTAGTGAATTCCACAAACTTTCTAAGACAGCAGATATATTATTAAAAACCTTTCATCTCGATATCACAGGTAGTACAACTTGCGAACAAAATCGTTAAAGTTCACGGATATACATAGTAGATGAAACACTCCGCTACAAATTTCCACTTTATCTTAGGGCCTGAGAAGTGTATATGTATCATATTTACAGTATCTCCTAGGTAATGGTGAAGATACGCATGAGAAAGGGAGCAAACTTTATCGCTAAAACGGTTCACTGAATATAATGAGGCTACTGGCTGTTGGTGTATTTTCTCATCGCTTTAGACTAGCGAAACAGGATATACACACACACACACATATATATATATATATATATATATATTATATACACACAGGAACCGAGAACGAGACTCGTGCCTTTTCATCACATAACTGCATTTACATCAACCCACAGGGGAAAATCTCCAAATCGCCTTCATTGTTAGATTTCGGAGTCTAGAGATTTACTGAAACACGCAATCACTAATTGAAATGTGTGTGTGTGTGTGTGATGAGTAGCAGTCATTTGCAAATGGCACAATAAAAGTTCAATACTCGTATGTTACGTTATCAGTCAAACCGCATTTTGCACGATACTTCCAGTCAGAGTTTCTTAGTTTTCATATGTATATAACATCACTTTTCACTCTTTTTTTTGTAAGAACTATGACGTGCTATGGTCACGTGGTGTTAACATAACATATCATAAGAAATTTTTAATATTAACGAGAAATAGCAAACTCCCCTGACAAAGTGGATATTTTAATCTCATGCACACACATGTATGTTAACGTGCTAAAATGGGGAGTTAAATCATTTCTCACGTGGCTGGGGTTCTCTAATTACTTTTCGTCTAAGCTGACATTCGATCGTTCGTCTCATGTCTGTTACTGGTTATTTAGTTACCGTCGGAAAGCGAAACTCGTCCTACACCTTTAACTTCTGTGTGTGTGTTTAAGTATTGCTCAAGACTGTCTTTTCATCATGAAAGGCTATTATCTAAAAATCAAAACTCGTCCTACACCTTTAACTTCTGTGTGTGTGTTTAAGTATTGCTCAAGACT